GCCTAGTGCTGTTATCGTTGTCGTTGCTACGCCAGCAGCTACTGCTGTTGCAGTCCGATGTCCAATGTCAATGCGAGCAGCCTCCGGCAGCAATGACAACAGCATAAATAGTATAATTCAGCGTTTGTTTGGCTAACGTGAAGGACTCAACCGTTGGTGGCGCTGGGGACAGCAGCAAACCCGGTGCGGAGAACACTTGCTTCGTTGCCGCTATCGCTATATCAGCACCAGCAGAAGTGCAACAGAAACACAGAATCCAATATTTCAGCAACTTCGTATAGCTGCTCTGTCATCCCATGTTTCTATCCAACGCAGGCCGCAAATGTTTTTGTTGTCTGCTTCAATACGAAGAAATGGGAGTGAGCTAAACTCGCTGTCCAGGCTATGCATCGACATCTACAAGATGTTGCCGGTTTCTTCTCTATTAAATACGGTTTTTAATACCCTAATAGGACACTTATCCTCTGTCCAAAAATATTTCCGCTACAAAACGACTCTTATACGATCAGTCGTATATTACAACGGACGCGTTCTAAAAGCGTGCCGTATTGAAAAGTACCAGCGTTTTTTGTTTTTATGCCACAACGTGCTGGTGTCCTACACAGGTGAAAAATCCGTTTCCTTGCTCTGGCAGCCGACATTTTACTGTCATCATCAACTACTTTCATGAACAACATCGAGTTCACTACTCACAAATAAGAAGTTGACTTAAGTTATCACACATTCTGACTTTCTTTAAAACCTTCAGTGAGCATTTGTAATGTAAATTAGTTCCACAATTTAGGAATAATACCAAGTAAGATAAGTGTCGCTAAATTTCATTTTACCTAAGCTTAAATTTAATGAGCGGCTAAAGAGCTACGAAAAAAAAACTTCTTCAAAGTAACTTATGAAAAGAAATCATTGTCTCAGAATGAATTGTGGTACGTCCACGGACCACGAGTATCACAATGCACTAGCTTTAGCCTGTTCGGCAGCTCGAGCTGATTCATCTGTCCAAACCAGTCAACTAATAGGCCTGTACTGATCTCTGAACTACATGCGGCTTCTTCTTAGAACGAAACGACCAAATTAGCGAGTTGAGGAGTAGATTGGCGTCCTGTTGAAGATTTCAGAAAACCTTTACACGCCGAAACTGCTCTCTAGGATAACGCCTTGTGCACTAGGACGTAGTAGTTAGCTAAGGGCGAAAATGGAGTCTAAAAAGCATTATTATTACAGAATGTCAATCTGCCCCTTAGATAAACGGAATGTGGTCTTTCAATTGACACAGGACAAAACAATAATTCGTACGATAAATAATACGTGATAAAATAATGTACAAATGATGACGTTGTAAAATAAACTGATTAAACCTTAATACGCATACCGTATACTATGCTTACAAGAAACTTTCTTTCTATGCAGCGCATTAAATAAATATATTACGTAAGGTAGCACCGAATTTAGCTTTAGCTTGAAAGACTGAGAGGAACAGAAAAGGCATAGACAAATGTATACGAGGAATATCCTAAACTTATCGATCTGCTAATATTTTGTGGCGTAAATACATATTTTTCAGTAGGTTTCGCCATTAATGCGTCCATGAAACAGTTTGATTAATTTCACCACTCTTAGCAAAAATAACTGCCTTTCGTAATCATGATCTGTAGACACGCTATTTGGCAGACCATCGAAAAGCACTGTTATACGATGGATATATTAAGTAAAACACCGCGTGCAATAGATAACGCTACAACTGAAAGAGGCAGCAACAGTATGAGGAAACTCTCGTCAGTTAGTTAACGAAATCTCAATCGTCTTCGAGCTGTTAGAGATGGGATCGCCTCTTTTTTATGGACGGGATCCACTTTAAATACAGCGTCCCACATTTACCTTTATGAAACGCTCTATGTCACCTCATTGTATTTCGTGTTTGGTAGTACGCTTGTAGTCAAGTTGTTTATACAGCAGCAGCAGCAGCAGTAGATACAACAACGGTTTAGATAACAGCACAAAGAGGATGAAAATATATATACGCGTGAAAGCGCTGACATTCGAAGTACGCTCCAAGATGAACCTGGTCACTCTTTTTAGGCTCAAGGCACAAGCGAAGCAGCATTTTGAACCTAAATATTGTCACCAAAAACCAAGGGATTACATTTGCCTGCATCGATTGTATATAACAAACAGTTGAACAAAATGTTGTAACATAATAATGATCTCTGGAGAAACTGGTCTCGTAATCATTATAAGTGCAAAAGTTAGAACGATAGTATAATGTGCAGTCTCTTCTAGTGTACACAGCGACATAGGCCCTGGTATATTGTGTCAGGTAGTATATTCTTACGACTACGAATCGACTTGTAGCCCCGGCTGGAAAGCACCCCTGAAATTTCTATAGAGCAAGTCAGCCTGACGTCGCATTCAAATTGAGACTTCAGCAAACATTTTTGGGACAATAAAAAGTCTTAATAATTTTAATCATCATAAAAGCAAAATTTGCCAATCCTCTAGGTTGTCCTAGGTAATCCTAGTAATTCACCCTGAAGGCTATGCAGAGCAAATACGCTATTCAAAATAGCGTAAAGGAATCATTACATATTGTTGTAGGTCTACGTGTCTATCGAGTCGATTATAGCACATGTTTTAGCTAGAGACGATCTCACAAATTCACAAAAATATACTGAGTATAAAAAAAAAATACAGAGCTGTTTGTAACTTGTGTTGAGCTTTGCATTGGGAAACGTTTAGCATTAGTTTGACAAAGCGTTAACGGGACTGGTCTGGCAGTGGATGATCATCAAATGTGCTTTACAACAAATAGGTATAGTTACGTTAGGTCGACTTCAGCTTCGGTTTCTTTCGTCGGTAACCTTTGATGTGTTTCTACATACAACTCGCGGCTAGCGACATCCTAATACTTTGTCGTTTTTGCCATCTTGTAAATGCATTAACAATAACGACTTGAAGTGCTTGCACTATTAATAACAATGTAGAGAATAATGGTGTTGTCTCCTGTGTACCCAAAAGAAAGCCGTATATTTTATATCGTTAGTGTTTATTGTACATATTGCTGCTGCTCGAGAAGCTTCCCGGTCCCAGTGATGACGCAATTGGTACCGTGTTTGCTTGCTAAATTTAGAAAACACGTGGCGGTTTGGGTTTGAATCTGAGCGTGGACACACTTCGTTTCGTGCTGGTAGGCAGGCGTCTGGCCGAATGCCTAACGGCGGTATTGATCGTAAAACCCGAGACGTTCAGCTTTAGATTTAGCCCTACAATTACTGTTTTGCTAATGCTGTTAACTACGATGTTAACGACAACCGATATCGATCCTAGCGATAGATACTGTATATGGTACTAGCGACCATTAACGAAACGTCCAGAGTGTGATCTCGTTCAATCAACCCAAATAAAGAATGAACATTGAAGACGCCGCTTTGATGAGCCAATAACATTCTGGCTGACTATCAGCACAGCAATACCGCACCCACTGCTGCAGCCTCAATTGTGTATGTGTGTATTTATGATTGGGTATGCGCGTGTTTTTGTGGCCGGTCCTCTATTCAACCCGCTTTCGTCTTTCGATTGAATATAAGTTTCCCATAACGTTGCTGCTATCAATTAACAAGGGAAGGTGCAATACGAGAACTAGATCTATTCAGTAATCAGCATGATTTAAAAAACCTCTTTTTTCTCACTTTCGATAAGTTGGCTGCGCTTTTCCTTTCGGTGAGTGATGATTCACAGTACACGCTCAATCGAAGTTTTTATTAGCTTGGCTGTCATTTCTTCATCATATAGAAGGCAATTGGTTAATTGGTTGTAGTAGTGTTTATGTTATGCACTAGGTATTCAGCACGAAACGCGCAAGAACTAGGTTCAAGGTTTTTCACACAGACGTCGTCTGCTTCGAGCATGCCTCGTGGATATCGCCAGCCATTTGAATCGTCATTCAATTCCAGCTTCAATAATCTGCACGCCTTACGCTATCCGCTCAACACTACAGAGATCTCTCAGCGATAACAACAACAACAACGACGACAAGAGCAACGCAAAACCCCTGACTAATGTCTAATAAACGTGACTGGTCGTCAATCAATGCAAGGAGATCAACGGTTATTACCGCCCGATCGCTCGGCCACTTGGATACAGTTTTTCAGTAGCTCCTAATTTATTTCAAGAAAGATTAAAAGCCAAACGTAAAAAAATATTATGTCAGCAACAGCAGCAGGAGTCAAGAATAAAAAATCCCATTTGGAGAATCACAATTCGTACCATTAGAGTAAGAGTCTTTGTCAAACCTTTAGATCATAAAAGATGATAATATCCGCATAGACATTAACACTTCAGTAGACAAATAAAACCGTTTCGTTGCGCGCATGGACGTGTATCTAGTCCAGTGAGTTTCTCCCTTCATATTAAACGAGAGTTACCGCATGAGTGAAGGATCAGACACGCGCAAAACACAGTTAGCTTTACGTAGATATACATTCGTACATACATACATACATACACACACACACAATGGCCTTAAGAGAAAAATACATCCTAGCTTAAAAAGTAAACAATTACAACTCTCGTAGCAGTGAACCTTAGATCACTGAACGCTTTTGTCCAGAGTTAGGAACGACAAGACCATATATCGTTGTTGGTTCATGCAAATAAATAATCTCAAAGGGAACGATGTTGCATTGCTGACGCTTTACCCGCACCTTGAAAGACTAAAAATGAACATCGGGCTGGTTCGGACAAACAGCTTCAGCTGATATTATCAGCAACTGTTGCAGCTAGCACCGTCGCAATCATCTATATTATTGTGGTTTTTATTGGCGCCGCGCTACAATCGAAGCGCTCTGCAGGGACAGGTTCTGCTTTCGTAGTCTTTTTCTGCAGTTACTTCAACCAGACGCAGGTCGCGTAACAGTTGGGACAAATGCGCGTCATTCATCCGTATCCGTTGGTTAGAGATGCTGCCATATTTGCTTTTAACGTGACCTCCCAATGTAGACACTCACCGTTGAGATGGCGAACGTAGTACTGTATCCACAGATAGAAAATTGTGCCCGCTGCTCCTCTTGGTGTTGAAGTTTTATCCGAATTATACCGGTAGTTATGAACATTTAGCAAGCGTATATTCACAGCACCTTATTCCAATAGGACGATTTGAGCTTATCCGAGTGAGTTCACAAACATTACTTATCCAATTCGCGCAGTGTGCTTTTATGCACAACAACAACACCAACAACAACAACAACAACAACAATGATGATGAAGGCTGTTACAATATCACGCAGCCGAACAACAACATCCACGCTATAGAAACCAGCAGAGCCGACTGTTGGACTCGCACCAGTACCGTTGGTGCACCGTTGATGAGTAACCACACCATCGAGGAGAGGCTGCGCCAGCACCAGGAGCGCCATCAACCCTCGCCTTAGACAGCGCGCCAAAATTCGAAGTCAGAGCCATACGAATAAACGTGTGCCGAGCCATCATAATTCACTTCAACCTGCGTGTACGTATCTGTATATACTTAAAGTTGTAAAAACGCTTTGGGAAAAACAAATTGATCTAAAGGATGCTTCACGATAAAAGCGGACGACAAGATGTATGTGCATCCTGAATTCTAAAACAGCTTTAGACACAATTACTGACACCTAGTAAATGCTAATTTTATTTATTAGATAGAAGTTAGCCCGTTCCTTGTGAAAATGAACGATTCAGTACAAAGATGCACACACACACACACACACACATCAGTACGTCCTGCAGAAAATTACTCGACCAATTTCATCAGAGCTTTACTTGGCGTCCAGCGCTACATCACGCCACTTCTAGAATAGAGCCTATGCTCTAATGCAGCTATTGGTTTACATCACGTGGGAAGAAGCAATGTGTAGCGTGCAGATCTTTAATATCTAATTAATAGTTTTTTAGAAAACTGGTATGCCGATTTTACCAAAAACAAACGTGTGAACATCATACAATACAATTCATTCGTGTTATCAATGGTAACCTGTGTATATAAATAAGTGTTTACGTTTTATCTACTTGAATTAAAGCATTGCTTTACACGGCTGGGCCCTCCCAGTACGGTACCAAGATGAGTCTGCGCCTCGTTTCGAACCTACACCGTCTCACGTGCCCCTCAATAGACAGACAGACAGACCTGTGTATCTAGTTAGCTATAAAGATCTGCTTTAGCATTTAGGAATCGCATGAGAAACACTCTTGATGAAGCACGGTGCGTTTTGCATCTTCATAGCTGTGCAACTGGACCGTTAAACGCAAAAAACGTTAAAACGACCGTAAAAAAAAATTTGACACTTATAGTAGCGGTGTATTCTGAGCCGCCTAGGTAAGCATGGCCGCTACTGTAGCTATGTTGGTGAGTCTCAACTCAGCGATCGCAGTCCCAAGTTGAAAAAAAAACAAGCCTGTCGAGACAGATCATAACATTTGATAGGCTCTAGGCGGGACAACTGATGTATGAAATTCAGCCAATCCATATTCAACTGTTTACCTTGTGTGCTATGCATGCTATCCTGTGTTCGTATTTAACAGCAAATTTTAACTTATAAGTAACGTTTTTCTTTCTATATCTAACCGCCTGGTTAATAAGGTTCTCGACTGTATTTAAGGGGCTCCAGGCAGTATTTTTCATGAAGTTGCGGCAGCATTTCAGGTTATTTTCAGATTAGAGTTGTCCAGCTGCACATAAAGATCGAGAAGGAGCATTCATTGTCCAACCTAGTTCCACTTACAGTGACACTAATCTAGCTATTGACGTATTTGACTGATAAGGCGTAAAGTTTATTCACGGTTTATAATATATCCTATAGATACCGTTTCGCGATGGCTGAACCATCTGATGGAATGCCAAACGGCGAAACTAAGTATTTTATTTAGGATTGTAACAGAACGTTCCCCTTTGCTCTATAAAGAAGTAGAATATCAGTTAGTCAACGGTCAGCAGTAGTTCAACGACGAGGAGGACAGCCTAGATGTCTCAATGTCTGAGAAACAAATGGATCTACAGAATACCTTAAAAGGCAAAGAATATTTCATTCACTTGAAATAAGATTTTTTTCGACCTGCTAAAATTTAATTCCGCTGGATTTTTACAGTGTGCTTTCATGTACACCGTAATGAGCTTATACGTATCGTCTGACGCGTAATGAATAAATTAGGTTTTTGATGGTTAGAAACAACCCATTAGAAAGAAACTGTAAACAAGCCTTCTACGTATTAGGTATCAAAAAGAGTCTAGATTTGCTTTGTTTGAAAGCCCAGAAATGTAAAACCTAATGGCAGCTTTCGGACCCAAGTTCAGGCTTTTGACCAAGCCAAGTGGAGGGGATAGTGGGCTTATGTGAAATAAGGGCGATTCCGTCTTCTTTTAGTTAGGAGACACTGAGCTGAAGTTGCAGTACTACGCACGTAGTATTTAAAACGTACACGGATCACAAACGTAGTACAATCAGCGTTATATGATCAAATTTCGAAAGCTGCTATGATATATAGGACAGCTGCTTGTTTTTTATTTTTCGCCTGTCTCGAAACTGTATTTTCGATGTCAAGTTGAAGGCAGCTTTTCGAAGCTGTATGGTCCAATATTACTCTAAGCTATTATAAAGCAAATGTTGCCGATTCCCGATCGTAACCCATCGTGGAGGATATATATATATATATATGTATATTAGACTAATATATCGTACTTTTGCATTATCGCTTTTTAAACTCGTGCGTGCTTACGTGCCACACCTTTAAGATTGTTTTTGCGACGTCGACATTCTTATAGAACACCGTCAAAGTGGAATCAATATAGGACGATTATTTAAGATTCTCGATTAGCTAACAGCTCAAATATGGTGTTTCTTGAGTTTCTGAAGACGTACCTCTTGCTCCAAACTCAGTCGGTGCATTTTAGCGCATCATCAAGACTGCACGATTTTGCCTATGACCGTATCGGAGTCTTCAATGTATTGCACGTTTCAGTTTTCATGTTCTTAAAGAATGCTCAATACTATACGTCAGAGGGCATTCCGGTAGTACTCGTTACTGACGTTGCTTGCGAAAAACTGATCCAGGTCACATTGCTTCCTTCATTCAGTAACAATGACGTAGTGGTTAACCGCTGGTGCATTTGAAATATCAAAACGGCGAACAGGCAAGAAGCAAGAATGTTAGCGACAGAGTGCACAAGACGCGGATATTGTAAATAAGGGCCACTCAATTGGGAGGGTAGCCTGTGAACTGGGGACGAGCAAGGCCACGTTGGAACCGGAATAGCTTGAGACTTCAAGCAAACTTGCCTCGTGTGTTCGATGCTTCTTAGCTACCTTTCGCGGTTCGAGCTACCTTAGCAGAACACTCAATTTGCCTAGTACGCAAGAATCATTCGAGATTGAATCATGCTCGAGGCAAAACTAGCTGCGTGCGAATTTGTTGGCAACTGAGCGTAAACTGTACCGGACAATCGGTATCGCGACCAGTGCACAGAAAACGATTGGATAATAGCCTTCATATCACGGCACGCTTATCTCGTCTTTACGACAATTCGAAAAGATGTCCTTTGGGCGCGTATTGAACTTTAATAAGAAAGCGGTCAAAGTCTTTTTCGACAACCTAAGCACTTTGGTGGAGCCATACAATTTTGCAAAACATAATTACGTCAATGTAAGACTGAATCCTATTTTGCTAGCAACTCGAGAGAGAGAGAGAGAGAGAGAGAGAGAGAGAGAGCAGGAGAATAGTTATGACAGTAGTTTGGCTTGTTCCTACCGTTACGCTACCGTCATTCCGTCATCGGCAGTAGAAGCCGCCAATCGTTTCATGTCTAGCCATTGTCAATCGACGTGACCAAAAAGTACCGTGCATCATTGAGGAACACAACAGGCAGCATCTTCGTTAGTGTAGAGCTAGTCGAAATCATTCATTTGAACAAAGCTTTCGCAACAAGAGAATCCAAGTGAGATCGAGTTTAGTTAGCTCTAAAAAGCAGCGTTGACATCGTTACATCTGTTCCGCCGCTCGAATAAGCTATTAAAACTCTTAGACGTAGCAGTCTTAAAGCTTGACCTGACACAGCTAAACAGGTTTTTGTTACGCCAGAAGGATTTCAATCTATGACATCCCCGGATCGGCAAAGGGGGCACGCGAGAAATCATTTACGGTGGCAGATATTGTTGGAGAGTTTCAAACGACAAATCTCTTTCTGCTGGACGAGAATACATTCACAGAAGGTGGCTTTCTTCCTTTGGTGGTGCAAACTGATAACAGCCAGGGCCGTCAAGCCAGCACGGGGTGTTAACTGCTGGAACAGCTGTTAATCCGCGGAAATAGAGGCTAAGTTGCGGGCAAGTCCGTTGCTCTATCGCAGTGAGCAAAAGGCAGAATCCGTAAATCATCCCGTTTTTAAAAATTTTAACTATTTAATAGAATTCAATTGTGCTGTCCAAATTTATATGCTGCTCAAAAATATCTGTTTTCTTTATAAAATAGTGAAATATTTAGAGGATGCCCAATTGCCCAAAAGACTGACCGTTCCATCCAATCATACTGATTGGCTTGTTCACACGGAATCCTAAGTGGCTGGTGAAATCTGGTGGGACTATATGACACGTAAGCAATTTACTAATACTTTGTTTTAAGACACAAGATAGGGAACTTTTTCACGAATACAGAGGTATTGTTTTTTCTCTTTCCGCTGCAGTGGCTCCTTTCAGCGGTAGCGTTTAATATTATTATTATTAAGTATTATTATTAGTAGTAGTATTATTACGCAGTATTATTATGTGTAAAGCCTATTTGGCTCCTAGATTCAGAAGAAGATAAATTGAGCGAACGTTTTCAACTCGCATTTTGGATGTGCTATATAGAATTAAGGTTCATAAAAGATCATTCGGCTACCGCCTTATACAGGATGTTGCCTGCGGAGGTCAGACGAAGCATAAGTGACCTTCTGCAATATACTTTTGCAGTATTTAGAGGTTACCACACCGCCCTTGACTTCGTCCTAAGGTGCTAATAAGCATCGTCTAAAGCACTTCCGTTGCTGGTGATGTTGGTGTTTTTGTAGACGTGCCCAAATCAATAGCTACAGTACTCCAGGAGAACACTGTGACAGTCCATGATGGACTCTCGAAGCTGTCGGCGTTCACAGAACCTACGAAGGTACTCCAAGGTGATAATTCTAGTCCTCGCCTATTCTCGGTTCCTTTTGAAGATTTACCGGACAAGGTGCATGGGTTAAACGTCATGGTGAAGCTTCTCTTCTAACCTAAATGTTACCTAAATGCAGCGGACCTTAACCAGGTTGCACCGCCACTGTCTCCAAATAAGGTTTGACTATGACCCCTACTAAAATCAATTGATTTCAGAAAAAATGGTGAAATTGCGACTCGTGGTATGCTATATCATTCTAGGAAATTGCTCACATATGTCAATAGATTCAGCGACTTTGGGCTCCTAATCTTGTAAAACAGACACAGCTTTTCCTAGCATCTTCCGGTTAGATGCTCTGACAGGATCTCTTTCTAAACGATCTTGAGCTTTTATTTTTTTTTTTTTTTTTTGTTCTTGTTGTGGGATTGAGCTTCCGTTTTCGCACGGACTTCATCCACCAGCTAAAATTCACCTAGTGACTTGGTCGTTCTTCTTTGGTGATTCGCCTCGTGTCGTGCTCCAAAAAGGGCCTCTGAATGCGTATAGAGGTCGCTGTGACAGGTGTGCAACTAGATCTATATTGCTTTTTTCGCACTCCACTTGTCTGTGTCTAACTAGCCGTATTAGTGTTGCCTTTTTCCACGGCTGGCCTTAGAATTTTGGTGGCGAGTCTTCACAAGCAACAAGCACAAGTTGTGGCGAGTGCGCACAGAGTTCGACATAGTACAGCTTCTTCAAAAATATCTCCGCGAAAGTGACCGGCTGTACGGCTTTGTGGTGAATACGCTGTTTAGAGATAGGAAAAAGTGTCCAAGCGGAAACGAAATCGGTAGGTAAATCTCAGGGAATGGTTTAGTACCGACCAATATTTCTTGTCCTGGAAGTAGCCGAAAGACAGTGCTGCAATCTCTGCTTTGAACAACCGGTCAAAATACGAAAAACTCTCGGGGTGCGAAACACCGAGGCGGGATGGATCGCACACTGAATTACGCTCTGATTTTCAGCGACCGGAAAAAAAAAAGAGAATTGGTAAAAAAGAAAATCTGGCAACATCCCTCCCCGTAAAACATTCTATTCTACAGTGACCATTACAACATCATCATTGAAATCTGTTGTAGCTTTGCCTGGAGCAAAATCGATCGAATATATATATACAGAGAAAAATCCGGCAAATATCCTACAAACAACATTTACGACATTAATACGAGACCTTTCTAGAGAACATTTTCCTTTCCAGCTAGGCAATATTTATGAAATTCAGCCGATTTAGAAACTATATTTCGTAGGATGAGCGTAAGTCATATTTAATTAGCATCTGTCTCTTGCAGTAGTTCAATGCTGCACTAGATTTTCTTTCAGTTCACTTAACAAGGCACACCGGTCGTTTGCGAATAGGTCAATCAGCCTGCGCAAGGTGCATCGTTGCAGGATAAAAAATGTTTTCTTTGTGTTTCTGATACCTTTTTGTTAAGGTTATTAGTAACCAGAACAATCAGTCAATTTTTTTTAACACATTTACCTCATAGCAATAGTATCATATGCTTTGTTTGTGTTTGTAAAGGTGAGAGACTGACCAAACTTCTGCGTAACTTACTTCCATTATACGTACGCATAGTATGCCCAAGTCGATTTTTACCTAATCAACTAGACGGTACTTGAAGTGAATCCTACTTCATTCAGACAAAGTCCGAATGTGAGATATTTCTGAAACTTAAAATTATGCCTAAGCTCAGTTTATCACTATGATTTCGCGAATTTATCAAAAACTGGTGGAAGAATGGTTCCATTGAGTGAGCATTTTATGAAGTAGTTACTGAAACTGTAATTAACCTATAAAAATAGCAAAATAAGGTAACGATGGGGCAACAGTTTAGTGGGCTGCTATAACCAATACGTTACCAAAGGGAGATAGCGTATAGCCTGTCGCGATAGTTCTCATATAAATTATCTCACACATTCATTGCGTGTTAGCTTGTAAGCGCAGTTGGCAAGTAAAAAGAAAAAGAAAAAAAAAAAAAAAAAAAAAAAAAAAAACTGCATTGACCTAGCGTATCGGCATTGGCGGTTATACGTATCCTGTTTTCAACTTTAATGTTCATGCCTAGCTTATCGCGTGCTGGTAGATCCCCCTCTCTACTCATCTCAAATCATCCTTTTACCCATTAGAGCTGCTCAAGTTTACAACTGTCCTCTTCTATGCTCATTGTAAGGTGCGTGAAGCTCTAGAGTCATTTTGCCTTATCATTGGAAAACACTACTTTGGAGTACCTAGGTTACATGATTGTCGCCAGTCTCTAGTTCTTGATAGCTTACTAATTTAGCTATCAAGTAATAGATAATATTTTTTAAAATCTGTTTTTCGGCGCTCAATACAACTTGCTGTTATTAAGCAGTTTTAGTAAATTCATCGATATTGCCTGGAAATTCTTTGCACAGGATTTATTTACCATGTGGTTTATGTCAAGTGCTGTTTTGGCTCTATCAACCAGCATCATCCTGACGGCCAGTAATGGTCAAGCGGACCTAAAAAATCTTAAAGAAAATTTTAATGAAGAACTTAAAATAGCCAAACGGTACCTTTGCAAAGAACTCGGTGAGTGTTGCAGATTTTGTCAGATTTCATTCTTGCGCATCGCTAAATATGTTGTTGGCATGCATAGATACATAGCACCGTTGAATTGATTAAACTAGCTACACACGAGAGGCATCAGATACATATTCGTAAAAAAGTAAACTTCATTTTTGGGGCATCATTGTAAATGTTTGTCCTGCCTCTCTGTGAGAACTCGGGGCCCACGTAGCGGTGTCGCATTATTGACCTAATCCAACATGACGAACAGAAACATAGACATACGCCAGGTTACAAATAATAAGCGTATTACGATATAATGATATTTAGCAAACATCATATAACTTAGCATAACAGACATCATATAATGAAGGGCTTAATTTCGCGTTTACTTTTAGCTGAGTAATATTCCATCAAAATCGTTACATAGTAGCTAAAGCTCCTTTTCGGGTAGTGTCGCAGTTAGGCAATCATTTCTGTTATTTATCTTGATTTCTTTCGGTATTACAACCGCGAACAATTTATTAGAAAAAAAAACACATATGCTTTTTAGGCACGCATGTATTCGCATGGTCTGACGACGCAAGGTGCCGCTTAATATCGTCATTACTCTTATGGCTATTTACTAAGAAACTTTGTGTTAACATAGATGTTAAGCGTGTGTAGTTGATAGTGGCTGGATAAACTCTTTGTGAACTTACACGTACCTTACGCGCGATATGCTCAATCGAACAAAGAAAAAATTCTGAGATGTGCATAAACGACGTTGGCAATGGAAAGAGGTACATTGTTGGTGGTTTATGAATCTATCTAAATTTTGATGCCTATGATAATCTACCGCCAATTTCGAGTTTCAAACAAAGCAGGCAAAAATCCATGGTCCACGATGTTTTTAAGGCTGAAAATGGTAGCGATTCTCTTAGTGCTTACAGATTCTTCTAATCCACTTTTAAGGCTGGTGCTACAATCGTGGCACATCTAGCTGCTAATTTATTTACGCGTAATAACACCCCTATACAGTGTCAGCGGTTTGACGTACCTCAAGCGTCAAGCGACTCTGATTAAACAAGGAATTTCCTATGCGCGATAGCGGTCCAAGGTTTTTCGATAAGTTCTATATCATTTTTCCTTTGCTTTTAGACAAGTATCTATTATTTAGTGGCGATACTCGACTAGTGGCAACTGTAATTATTGACCTGATCGGTCCGCTGCATTCAGTAACGTTCGTCAGAGTTTTATCAATTTGCTTTTGAGTCGGTTTAAGTAATGTCAGTCGCTCAGGATCGAGCTTAAAAAGTAATGTTAACCTACCGTGGGCCAATAAGTGTGAAACCTGAATTCGAAGGATAAACTTTATTTCGCTGAAATCGCTAGTTCCTCATTTGTAATTCCTCTCTTATACTCAACTTAATCTGGCTCGTCAATTAATAGTCCTACAAACTGTTTGGGGGAAGTGGCTAGAGTCGTTGGATCACTAAGCCGAGGTGAATACTGGATTTCCCACCAGCCCAGATGAGCTACTTTTTGTTAGCGGTAAAGTTGTTATCTCCCAGCAACCCTGTCAACCTAGCTTCTGGGCGTCGTTTGTTTCTGTCACTCTGGTAAGCTTTACCAAAGTTTAACAAGTCTTTTTTTCGATTATAAGTTTCATGGTGAGTCAACTTCCTTTATTCCAGATCTCTTTGGATAAATGCGTGTGTTTATGCAGTAGTGCCCAAACCGCATTTTGTCTATTTTTTATCGCAAAAACCATCCATTTGATAGTAAGGAAGCATACGTTTGTAGTTTAACCTCACTGTGTGTTCGTTGTTCTGTTATTTCCATTCCAAACTCTAACGTATCTTTGTAACCTTTCGAAATTTGACGAAGATTACAATGCTTGACAGCTTTCACTTCAGGAAATCAACGACAATCGCTATGTTACGAACGTCATTTACGTTTTAACCAATTAAATGCCATGATAAGGTCAAATAATGCTAGCCCAAACTCATCTGTAGCGTTACGATTTTATCCTGAGAGCCTTCTTAGCGGCGAGGAGTTCCAGCGGATGAGGACAGGCTATATTCCGCAAAAAATTACGCGCGTAATACCATTTAGAAAAAGGCCAACAAAGAGAACAGCTGAGGAGTACCTCAACTACGCTGAGCAAGGACTAGTGACTCCAGTAAAAGTGAGTACGGCAACATCTTTTATTTATAATACTTGTGCTCGGTGTCGTGTGTCACTGGGTGCGATCTGCAAGATCGAAATAGAAACTTAACTTTCGCTAACTTCAAGGACGCATCGGAGTGAGGTCATTGAACTGTTCGAGGTCACGTTGATCAAGCATTTTTAGAGGACTATGTTCAATTTTCGAAATATTTGCTGACAGGCCAAATGATAGATATATTATAATATCCTCCAGTTCATTTTGCGAGCGTTTCTGTTTCGTGAGAATGAGGCTGTTAGCGAAAGGGACGGCATGCGACAAATACTAGCGGGACTGGACTCAAGGTAACTTTTTGTGGAGAGGTGGTTGTTTGGAACAGCATTAGCAATAGCTATACTTAGAAAACGAATAGTACACGAACCAGTTGTAATCAACAGGAAAAAAACCATAGTAGGACAACCTTTCTAAAGACATCTTGCGAACTAGTGCCAAATGCCTTCAGAACGATTAAGGGTTTTACCGGCTTCAAATGCCCTTTAGGATTTAGATTCCATCTAGCAAACTCCGAGCAGCGTCCCGACTCATAGTATCCCCGTTGTACGCGGCACAGATATCATCAGGGGCTGCATTGGTTGGTTTCGGCCCAACGCCAGAGAGAATCGAAGCGTCGTTTTGAAAGGTTGAAGTTTTATTTGTTACGCAAATAAACCGTGAGGAAGTAAAAAGGAAAGAGAACGTGCATTTTGTGCTCGAACCTAAACACTGCCCAGTGCAATAGTGCTAGAAGTATAATGGATAGATAAATGGTCCCAACTAATTTATGCTGCAAATAAACTATGTAACAAAATCTTTTTATCTGATTTTGAATTTGAACTCCTTTAGTTCGATAGCAGGCTTAGAAAGTTGTAGTGTCTTTAAGTGTGGTAACCTTAGCGGTGGGAACGAACCTTCGTTTAGCATCACACTTTTGCACATACGTTGTTCAGCAATTAGGGCTTTCTAATATCTACTGCTTAATGATACGTAATTGTCACAAACTTTCGAAGACCAACTATTGTTGTGAAGCGCATACTTAGCTGCTAATAATTTAAATGGGACCTGTAAGTTTACATTTTTCTAAATAGATTAAAGCTTTATTTTCTCATTAGGTTATAAAATAAACAATTTAATTGCCAATTTAATAAACAGTAATTGCAACTAAGACACTAACACTTAAGACGGTTAAAAGCCTTAAATTGGTGTTAACTTCGTCAGCCATATCGTCATACTTCAGTCCTCAGCGTGATTTTAAGGGCATAGCAAATCACAGTATTTACAAAAACACTTATCGGTAGGATCGCGACAACCATAATCCTCGTAACAGCGTATAACTGGCGACTGATTCTTGTCTCTATTCTGAACTATTCATTGCTTCAATGTTACACATGTTAGAATCAAGCTCGGACATTTTGTCTTCGAAATTTTTAATGAACTGGCAATATGGAGGTATCTCTGGTAGAAAGAATGGCCTACAGAGTTACAGAGAGCTGCACGTTTGCCATTAAGCGCACTAGTGTCCACGTTGGATGTCTTCACCCTGGAGGCAGCCGTATAACTCGTTTCAAGAAGGTGGGTTTAACCCTCTACAAAAGATACAAAGTGCATAGTCGGAAGCTTCTCCTAGAACAGCTGTATTCCGTGAGAGGCTCTGGGTGCAACTCGCATCTGAATTAGCCTAACCTGGATCTGAACCGTATCTGTCAGCGAGAGTTTTCATAGCTTTTTCGGTCGAGGATGCTAATACTAGCACTCTTCAAGTTCTCTCTTCAGCGGGCACTCGAAACTCGACTCAGCGCTTGGGCTAGTATATCACGCGTATGCAATAAATGGGACACGAGTGACAGCAGACTTATCCGTGTTTGTGTGGTCGATCGATGTTCCGTTGCTCCGACGTCTATCACTCTTCCATTGGCTTGCATGTCAGCCTTTAGAAAGCGTAGAACATTGGCTTGTAGAGCGATAGATTCTCGAGCACTCTACTCCGAGTCGAACGGGGTGCGGAAGTCGACAAAAATGTTACATACGAAACGACCTTTTGCGATGATTTCTAGAAGTAGATCTAAGGCATCGCGTGCCAACAATATTGATTGTTGAACACGAAATCCATATTACTCCTCTGCAAGTACTCTTTTGTGTTGAGATATGGGGTCAGCCGATATACAAGAAGGTTAGAAAAGATACTATATTTTGCTACCGCTCGCTACTACGTTTGCTTTATTAAGGCGTTTTCATTCTTCGGAATCAGTAATAGTAAGTATTCTTCGTATTGTTCGCGCCTGTTCAGTACGTAAAGAGGTCTTGGCTCCAGTGCGCGAGCAGGCGGCAAGTAAGTTGTTAATGTGATCTTGCAGGAACATCGGGGCAAGCTAGCCTGGTGTGAGCTACTCTACGAGACGTAAGGTTATTGCTGTGCTTGGCCGAGGGGCTGCCTTTCTTGCCGTTATTGATGGTCTTATTTAACTTGTTCTATGACGCCCGTGTGACAGGTGACGCTTTTTGCGCAATGGAGTATCGACGTATCTCAAAACGAACGCATGTTGATGCCTAGCTAATCTGCACAACAATGTCGACGCTGCGGGGGATGTACAGATCGTCCTTATTCTCTTAAGAAATCGTAGACTAGGTTTAGTGCCTTCATAGTCAGCAGGTAATTAAGATGCACAGTAATCATTCGCATTTCAGAATCAGAAGGAGTGTGGCGCATGTTACGCTTTCACGGCCTTGTCGGTGCTCGGATCAGCGTTTCTGAGAAAGTTTGGTAAAACAACGGATTTCTCTGAACAGCAGGGAATTGACTGTACGTTCAGCCGTTATGATGTTCGCATGAACCGTGGCTGCCATGGAGGGCATCCGTACTACGTCCTGCTGTACGCAAAAACAAAGCAATTCGTTAGTCAGACGAATTATCGCTATCACAACAGACTGCAGCATTGCAACATGTAAGTTCCTCATCATATAACCGTGGGACTTCTTGGAAGTACTAGCGGTAACTTGGAGAATAATCTGCATTAACGGTTATCAAGTATCGTTTGTTTTTTTCTGGCCGTTACCAATGGCTGGCAAATGAAATAAATGTAGGGGGTTTGACATCTAGAAGCAACAGTGAAAGCACTGACGAGCAGCCCGCATATTTTGTCATTGGCCACGTAACTCAATTCGTGGACACGTCTGACGAAACGGCAAAACGCGATATAAATTTACTTGCTCGTACATGTATGATTCGTCCAAAGCGTTCGTGAATACGTCGGTGTTCCTGGGCTCGTTTTCGTACACCGAGCAAATCATTGCTATCCAATTGGTTTAGTCTTCTGTAGTACGGCTAATCATGGCGCATGAGGGTGCAACTGAACAATAAGTTTATTGGTATTATTATTATCGATAATCGTATTGCATCCTCCTTGATATCTATTAGCGAGAACATAATCACAATCGTCGTGTGATATTTTGAGCAATTTTATAGAAACACCCATGCACCATAACATCGTATGGATCATTACGAAAAAGCAGCAGGCGAAGGGCTATGATACGAAGATTATAACAGATAATGTTACTGTTTTTTAAGCTGTCGTACATTTATCCCGATTACACACACTGATAATGGCTGTTGGAAAGTTAAGGCCATAATATATAATACTCATTCGAATGCGAGGAAGGCGAGCCACCGCGGCCTTTTTAACTTGCGAATAATAAAATTCGCCAAATAAGCAAATGTTCTACGTCAACGTCCATATGCGTACGTCAATAGTAAACGTATTTATTATAGAGCGCTTCATAATGGGCGTTACATTTACAATGATCTGCTACAAGCTGATACGTACGCTATAAAAACATGTGGTTTTTCGACTCGTCAAAGGAGTCACAAATGAAGTATTGGGACACCTAGCCGTTCATCATGACTGTCGAAGATTAATTCACTGAACGCTGTTTATTGTAAATAAATGTACGTATATGTGTAGTTTTACATTCTGGCACTCGACGCCATTCGTTCAATTCAACAATGATGCTATGTATATAAAGGTTATGTTTTACACATTTCACATTATACCCGAATCCGACGAGAACCGCTACGATAACAGCGCTTACTGATATGATGAGAGCAATGAGGCCATGCACTGCGCCTAAATTGATTTTTTCTTAATGCAAAAGGACGAAATTTAATCATAATGTACCTAGTGAGATCAGCATAAACGCTTAAAGTGACTATATATGTATAAATATATAGTTTCAAAAAGCATCGTGTAACAGGGCTTCTCTTGTTAAGCAATGTTGGTTCTAATTTCATGATATTCTACCTTTCAATGCAGTGTCGAAAAGGCCCAGACTGTATCCCTGCGCGCAGGTGTGGTAGAGTCCGATGGAAGTGACGAGGCTCTCATGCAAATCTTGCGAAAAATGGGCCCAGTATCTGTCGCTATCAGTGTAGGTGACTCGTAAGTATCATCTGCGATTCTGCAGAAACTATAGTAAATCTTAAATGTCATGTCACTATGGTGTCACGGAAACGGCTCGGGCCATTGTTTACGACTATCCTTGCAATGTAATATATTATACATTAGGTTTTTTGCATGGAATATATTATAGGGACTTCAAACATTACGGTGGAGGCATAATTACGCAATGCGGTACGGTTCCCGATCATGCCGTTGTTTTAGTGGGATATAGAGTATCTGATGATGCTGAAGGATCTTACTGGATTATCAAGAATTCCTGGGGTACCAAGTGGGGTGAAAATGGATTTGCCAGGATTCGCATGGGGGCTTGTAATATATCCGAGGACAGGCCCGTCGCTGTTATTTTAAAATAATCTGTATGACATCTAGGAACTGAAATCATTTCCTATTAGTTTTCAAAACTAGGAACGTTTATACAGTCCGTTCGCGTACATTGATGTTTCGAAATTGCAAATTATAATGTATATGATTCGTTCGAATTAGTAGCTAACACGAGTTCCTAACTAAGGCTAGTTATGTTAGCATGTAATATTTAAGTTAACTGGGTACTAAAATAGAAGTCATCTGTATTTTTAGACTTACATTGATATGATTACATTGAAAGTTAAAAATATACTGTGGGATTAGTGCATGTTCCTTTCTTAGAGTAGGTTTAAGCCTGTTTGGCAGTGGTTTTATTTTTATTAAAAATTAATAAATACTTACTTTTATCTCTACTGAAACAGTGCATCCTATGGAGGTGAAACGCAATAGATTATAAATTTTCCATACGGTAATCTTCTTGCTAATAAAAAATCTTATCATCCAAACGAAATGTGTTGTGTCAACGGAGACTAGAAGGGCGACAACCTTTGGTTACATCTGTGACCTACGCTGTTTAATATTTCCAGGCAATCATACAAGTATATCTAATATTAAGTTATTAAAACCACCTTTTTTTGCAGCTAAGGATAGTTCTCTTACCGTGTCTATACCGCGTAGACTATTATTATTGTCTAATGTTTAATCCTAACTTAAACTTTTTGCACCTTTTACATTGATTAATTTTTTTGAATTTTTAAAACGCTCAGTTCAAAATTGGATTTCGGTAGAATTTTTAGTTTAGTAAGCGACATTCTAATCAGGTTCCACTTATCAGTGTCGTGTGACGCGATGTTAAGTGTTTTCAGTGTTTGGGGATAGAGAAAAGATACTTTGAAAGTCACCAGTTAGTAGTTTAGGTTACGAATTAAAGCTGCAATTAAAGCGGTAAATGATGGCTATCTTGAATGAAAGACTATCAACCTATAAAAGAATCCCAATGAAATATCTTTTTCTTTTATTTATACAGTCTTAAAAACAAAACATAAGGAAAATTCTAAATCTTGGCGTGCTACCCTATTTCTTGTCGGATCCCTTCTTAAGGGTAAGTCAACAACTTCTCTTATTTTCAGCTATTCTTATTTTTGAGTGGCCCAAATTTTATCTGGCGCGATGCAGAAAAAAATATCGAAAGCTGCATCATGCATAATTAGGCTCCAAACGGTGTTCCCTTCAACAGCGCCCATCTATTTGAAATCGAATAAGCCTCGATAGCGCCTCCTGTAATAAATATAATTTGCGAGAATCGTCTGAATGAAGGCCCCCTTCTTGAAGAGCGTTCACCATACGTCAGGACACCGATTACTTTATTTGCTTGTTGAAGTTACATTAATCATCGACGACCTCCGTTTAGACTTTTGGACATCGATGCGTTCACCAGGTGTTTCAGAAGGTGGTAACAAGAGTTCGCAAAACAGACGGCAAACTTTTAAACAAAAGTAACGATAAGGGATAATGGTTTCTACCACAAATTAGGTGCACACACGCACTTTCACGAATTTAACGAGGGATGTGTTTGCAATAGATGTGGGAGGAATTATGATAAATACCATGCAGCAGGGAACTGCCTAGTAATCGTCATTCCAATAGTGTTCCTAGTGTCCTCATTTAGGGACCTCATACGTTGGCCTCGTAGGGCCAGTGTCTGTGCCGCAACTTTTGAGCTTATGAATGTTACGAATCAAGCAGGATATCAATGAAGAATCACCATCGATTCTGCGAGATGCTGTATCATATATTTTATTTATAGTTATGATGTTGAATTATCACTACCAAGGGTAAATAAACGTTATGAATATAATTAGCGTTCGTGCATGTTATCTAGCTTCTGTAACCCACTGCCAGTCAATATTCGCCTGTTACGTATTTCGTCAAAGGCGGAAGCCCTTATACCCCTGCTCGTGGGATAAGAGTCATCGATCGCTTCTAAGTAGGCCAGATGACTCTGACATATTTCCAGCGATGCTATGGCTATACCGGACTTAAATATTCACATAGCTATAATGTAAAAACTAAACCAGTTGTTATACTGGCGGCTTTTCATCAACTAGATCACCTTCTAAAATTAGCGCTCGGGACATGAGGGATGCACTACTAAAAAATACAAATCTATGGAGGCACCTGTGAGTGAAACAAAAAAGAAAGGCTCTGTTTCGACCGTTTGTCATGAACAGAGGCTTATTCATGATGTAGCTTTATACCTGATAAGTTTTTAGAGTTTGACTGTCCTTTTTTCGTCCGGACCTACGTCAGAATCGGATTAGGAAATCAATGTCTTATTCTGTTTATCTCTATAACAGTAATCGATTAAATAGATTCGGTTTAAAGCTGGCACAGACCTGGGTTCTACTAATCCGGCGAAACAACGATACTTCTATTACGATCTCAAGTAACCGAATGTTGGCAAAAATCGGCGGCTGAAGCAATAGCAGCACGTATGATCTTAGTGATTATGATACGTTTCGAGCCTGAATATTTTAGCTGATTCATGCACTCAGGTTGAAATCGTGTAAAGGCAAAGGACTTTGCAGAAGGTGTCCAAAAAAAAATTTATATTGCGTATGCATTTTTATTTTCTTTAAATTTAATGTTAACGAGTCTAATGTAAACCTTTCCTTTCACCGCTGATGCTCGAAATTATAAGCTCGTTTAGGTTAATACATTGCCGATAATGGTGAGCTACTATTCATAAGGTCAATTGTAGTCTGTTAATGTTGTTCGTTTTCTGATGTAGACTTCGTCATTAAGCTATCCCTACAAGAAAATCCAGTGACGTCAGGTCTAAGGAAAGATCAGGATACTCTAATACGCTGTTGCGAAGATTCTGATGAAGATGTGCCCCCATCAAGTGGTAGTAGTTGGTAGGAGGTCCGTGTTGTTATGACGTGAAGTTTGCTTCCTTTGCGGAAGTCCTGTTGAATGTACGATAAGAGATGCTTGCATTAAATTAAAGTAATTGACGCCAGTCATTATTTTGTCAGAAAGTATGGGTCACAGTGTACGCACTTTTCTGGGATACCTTGTACATTCGAAATTTGTATTATTTTTTTTTTGACAACCAGATAACTAGATTCCATTTGTAAATATGCAAAATGAAGGTGCTGCTGTTAGGAATGTTTGTAAAAAGAACAAGACGCTGTCGGAGCCACTACGAATTTGTTTTGCTATATATGAGTTTTTATAGGATTAGCATCTATCACACCGTAGTAGACTATACGTTGCGGAATTATATGCATCACACTATTACAGCCTTCTTCTGCACCTGGGGTGTAGTTGTGTCGTTTTGGCGAAAAGAAACGTCTCGCATTATATCCACCTACGATGGTGATACTCGTCGTAAAGCTTCGACTAATCGTATCTGCTACTAGCATTGCGACTGCAGAGACAGTCTGTGCTGGTTGAATGCTTGCACTAGTTCTGGCAGAAGAAAATCTTATGACCCGGGAAAAGCCAAGGATAGTTCTGCATACGATCGGATCGCCGCAAAAAACGCGCCGTAAAAGTAGACCGAATCCAGATCACGGGTGGTGTTTGCCACTCTGGCCTCATCCGACTGAATGACACGATTGAGCAATCAGCTCCTCACTTTATTAGCCCAGCCTTGCCGCCGTTGTCGGTACTTTTCCCGTTATGATTAAGCTAAAATATAGCAAGTGTTTAATGTAAACAGCTAGTTGTTCAGATATGATTTGGTTGTGCTTTTTTTTTTTTTATATGTCATCTCTTTTATTTAGATCTATTCGAGTATGGAAGAGGCGATTGATCAAACTATGGTATTTGAATGTCGATGCCTTTTTGGCTTATTGTTCGCGCCCATTAATCGAATTTATTCAAATTGTCCACGGCGATGCTTGTCGTAAACAAAGCCAGCATATAGTTATACCGTATTCGTTAATCGACGATTGAGCACAACCGGAAACTGCTATATGTCTTGACGTTCCCGCTTCAACGACATCAACTGCTGCTGCTGACGATCATGATTATGATGCTAATCATTACGCTACAGCTACTGTGGCTCTGGTTGACGACCGCTGGAATGGCGACGTCCGTGTACCCCAAACCCGCCGCCAAGGTGTTCGTTTGCATTGAACAACCAGCAACAGTGGCAGCAATTGGCTGCCTCAGCGTTAAGAGCAAGAGGGAGCAGAAGCCGCCGCGACTGGTGCAGATGATGCAGGGAGGGTGGGGAGTTGGAATCGGACGCCGTTTTGGCAAGCAAGCGAATTTAGCACCGGAAAAGCAATGAAACAGCAACAGATGACAGGGGAGTTTTTCGTACTTCCGTTGTGGTTACAGCTGCCGTGACTAACTATGTGATATGTGTCAAGCAAGTGTGTCTGATCGACAGCGAAGGCTATCGACAGCCGACGAGGATTGGAAGCAACGCTTTCGACTTGAAGACTTGTATAGGTGACCAAAGCCTCTGATGACTATCACAAAAAGGGGCCAACTTTCTCTGAGGCCTGCAAATTCAGGTCCAGAATGAAGCGTTCATTTCTTGATGCCTCCTTGAACCGATTATAGAGTTATAGGAGCCAACAGTAAGCATTGCCCGTTGAGTAGATCATCGAGTTACTGCTATCTGGATCATCCTCATTCTTGCTGTGTTCGTAGAGAGCAGAGCTTCGATCACTATTTTCAGTCATAACAACCGACAAGCCATAAAGAATTCCATCCACCAAAAGGTTCTACACTTGCGTTGTAGTTCCTCATTTGGCCTTATTTAAAGAATCTTCTTTTCACAACTTCCTGAATATAGCATAGCATTGAATCATGACTGTGATATTGAAGAGACAGACCAAAATGTAAAGAATCACTTTCTTTGGGAACGAAACTTTTCTTTTGAAGTTGTCTGTTAAACGCACTCACGTAATTGATGTTTAATTGTGCTAGCTTTGCGGCGTCGTTTCTTAAATCGATTCGTTAGTATCATGCCACATATTATGATTGCCTTTTGTTATTTTTCCTAGGAAATTTCATGGCCTTAAAATGTGTCTGTCTATAATTTTTAATGACTGAACATAATAATTTTCTACTCTTATATATATATATATATATATATATATATATACTGCTACAACCAATTTCTGCTGGGAAAAACGGTCTGTGATAAATTGGAGTATCAAGTACGTTGAGGAGCAAAGTGTCAACAAGATATTTCGTATGCTTGCGCACTCTTGACGTCCTGTTCCTGCATATATGTAATTTAGCCTGGTATACCAAAGATGGAAGCTTTGGCATAAGTACTTAAAAAACGCCAACGAAGGTGAAGTGACAATTGTTTAACGCCAAATAAATTTACAGTGCTTATCGTACAAAAGTAGGAGTTCTATTATAGCGATGCTAGTTAATAATACGTAGTCGGGTTACTTATTTTAACTCTGGTTGAAGGACGTTAAGTTTACATTAAATTTCAGTAATTATATTTTAACCAAAAACCGTCAGAAACACAGCTTTCGGAGCTGAGGCAGCGGTCGACCTAAGAGAAGCAAGCCTGCAAAAAGCCTGAAAGTGAGTGAAATAGACCTAAATGAATTTCTTATTTATAAAAACTTCTTCTAAATGAACTGAATTTCCTCATAGATAACGTTACGTTTACAAAGTTAAGCCTGTCTCATTATTTCATTTTCATTGTACAACTCGTCTGTTAAGTATATCGTTTCGTCCGTTGAATATATGTTCGATGTGTTGATTACCCAACGTACGATGCCAATAAATTATAAAAACCAAAGTACACTAGTCAGACAATGTTGTATACATAAGGTTGAAATATAAGATTTTTCATCTAATCGTCAAGAAACGCAGCATTTAACACGATTTCTTTGACTTCTTACTTTTCACGATCCCTTTCCATCTGTCAGTCTTTTCATTTACTCCCTCTGGCCGGAAACTTTTAGGTCTGATGTTGAACAAGTTGTCGATTTTGAAACTCAAATACCCGCGGGTACAGACTTCATTTGCCAGAGATCGGATATAGTCATCTATCGGACCGGAATCTGCTTGCAGAAAGGTCCTTAGCCAGGTTTAGAAGTATTTGCTGTACTTGGCTTGGCATCATCGTGAAAAAATACGATTTAGCCTCATTTATTGAACCTTTTTTTATCGGGTAATAGCTTCGGTTACTTGATGCGATCTATACTTAGCTGTCTGATTCTTCCTAGTGCGTAAGACCATCGTGTTTTTGAAATGGTGATGTGGGCTAACGTTAAAATAGCGTAGTTAGCCATTATTTTCGCATCCTTATAATGAATGGCATGAAGACACCGCTTCTCATTATCGGTTTTGATTCCGTGTGAAGAACTGGTATTTCTACTGCATACTGGTCAATGTCGTCGGGAAAATTCAGAGACAATGAGAAACCATACTTCTCTGTGATCCTCATTCACTTCGCGGGAAACCTAAGGTTCTAACGTGCCTATCAATATTAATACGACCGCAATTCATATTCCCGTCCAAAACACAAATTGTTTATTAGCCGTCTTCCTTCATAGTGCCTTAAAATCCATCCTCATAAACCTCAAATGACCGACCGAGCGGGACATTCTCCAATTCCGAGACACTGCACAGATATCTCAACCTCCCTTCACGGTAGGTCCACCTCAGCGCAAGGCAATATGGGGCAGGTGCCGAAAGTGCGCTTTTATCTTAGAGCATTTAATTTTTGGCGCCTAAACTAGACGTAAATTGCATTGCACAATAAAAGTAGAGTGGATTTACATCGGATGTAGAAAGTACTTTCGTACCGTATATAAAAGTAAACAAACAGTAGAGAGGTAACAGGCAACAAGCGCATTAAAGTAAATATATTTATGTATTCTAACTTCATAGATGTTATGCTGTTGGTTAATTAGTTCTTTTACAGATAAATTGCATCACGACTAGCGTAATGGGCGGTAGTTCGGGTGCAAAGAAAATTGTTGTGTACAGAAAACAGTTTTATTGAAATAGAACACGAGTTTACGAAGGCTGCATTGCATTGAAAGGTTGTGGAAAGTGTATGCTTCTTCTATATGACTATTTTAAATTACGAAATCTCCGAGACTTCCGCTGGTTACGTTTTTCATGCATTCGGTTTATTACAGACTATTCTGAAACCAGTGTTCAAATTCAGTCAGATCCAACATTGCTGCGTTTGCAATAGCTAGAAGAAATATTAGGTCGATGCAAGAAGTTTCACCATTAACATATTGCACGGCATGAATGATTGAAGAAGTTTTAAATATAAACAAAGTCAAGGCTGACCCTTTGCACTGTTCGGGCTACTTTTCTACCAGTGAATTTTCTTTGGCGGTTATCTTTTCCGCAACTGTGGCGGACTCCGCATCGGCATATTGCTGGGACTGCTCATATGCACCCCCAATACCCACATCACAGTTGCTAATAGCGACGACCTCAGCTCTTTAATCCTTCAAATAAATATGCTAATAACGACCGAACCCCATCATCCAAAACGCATTTTGTTTTCCTATTTATAATTCTTGCCCAGCTTCTGGGCATTTCTGACACTATGGTGCGGATATGGTGTAATGCGCAATAGTTCATACATATAGAAGGTACACGCACACCATTAGGATAGCGTTCTGTGCTGGAAGCATCATATATTGAGAGATTGCACGGATGTCAGGCCGAAAGGGAGTGCCGGCCTCGCGCCGTGCGTAAACTGAGTCGGAAGTCGTGGGGCAGTCTACAGGCTCAAAGGCGGCCAAGGATAGCAATGGTATTAGCATTTAGTGAAGTAAAATCTGCTACTTTTCGCCTCGTTTAAGGATAGCACCTGTCATAAGAGGGACAGGTGAGAATCAGCCCTGCTTTAAAGTAGGTCTGCGATACCTGTACGAAAACTTAGGGTGTACTATTGATGGTGGTGAAGGGATCATGAAACTGTTAAAATCTACACTTGTAGATTCCTAGAAAGCTTCACGTAAAAGACAAATGTCAGGGCATAGAAAAATGTTCCTTAAAACACACGTGGGCAGCGAGCTGAATGTGCGGAATAGAAAGACGTGTTAGAAAAAGCCGAGCAATTAGAGTCTAACAGCCGAAAACGAATAAAGCTGGAGCCTGACGTAGGAAATGTGACGAATCTGTGTTGTATCGGAGGTTTGTAATGGCGACACGAATAGGTAGCTATCGCATTTGGGCTTTTTCACAGACCACGTCTTCTTATTGGCAAATGCATTCAAGTCAACATGCGCGTGCTTCAACAGAATTCCGTGCACCACACTGTATGTATGATCGGTTAAAGAAGATAATACACGATAGTCTAATAGCCATTTCTAAATACACATAAAGTTAATAGTAGCTGAAAAATCTATCCTATTTCCGAACATGTCTAACTGTATATTGCTAAAAGTGTTCATGCCCGTATGACCGGCATCGATTCTGTAGAACCATCAAAGTTAGCTGCTTTTTGCTGAATTTTCACACAAAAAAATCTGTATGAGAGCCGATTGTACGTACCTTCTTGTGCCGGAAAAGTTTATCCTCGAATATGTATAGAGAGTCTTTCGCGATTACGGATTTTCTACTGGAAGGTCTTTCCATGCTGTACATGTTGCATGTGGAGCATAATTTTTAATATCTCATATTTTAACTATCTAACGGTAAAATATGATTTTTGCTGAAAGGCTTTAT